CAATATATTGATTATAGTATACATGAACGTCTAATTGATATGACAACATCTCGTGAATTTTGGTATTTACAATTAGAAGAATACAATTTGGAGTCTCGTTTATCATTACCAGTTGACCGACATCGCTTGTCTAATGATCATCGATCGAGTTCTGCTTGCATCACCCACATCCCTTTTGACAACGAGATTTCACAATTATTTCTTGATTATGCTTCTGCACATCATGTGACACTATTTCAGTTAGGTCTGAGTACATTATGTGCTCTTCTTTTCAAGTTAACTCATGGTGAAAATGATTTATGTATTTCGTCTCTTAATGCTAATCGATATCGAAATGAATTACAAAATATAATAGGAATGTTTATTTCGACACTTCCATATCGTATTCAGCTTGATCCGCAATGGTCATTTGATGATCTAGTTAAATATGTACGAGAGAAATGTTCATCAATTCTTGAACATTCACATTATCCACTTCAACATATTCTTGCTAATTCACATATTAATCAATCAAATATTTCATTTCTTGAAACAATGTTTGACTTTGTAACAATATCGTCACACAGCGATGAATTATCTTTAGATGGAGCAAGTGTCAAACAAGTGCCATCAGAACAATCGTTTGAAGTGGCTAAGTTTGATTTTATGTTAACATTTATGTATAATACAATATTGGAAAATAATAGATTATCATGCCGTTTAACTTGCTCGAATGATCTGTTTGATGAAAATACAGTTACAAATATAGGTCGAAGGTTAGAATACTGTTTTCAACAACTTTTTTCAACGAATGAAAATATGAATCGAATGGATACATGTTATACTTCTATATCGAAATTTGATCTTATTCTACCAGAAGAAACTCAAGAAGTGGAGGATACTATCTTTTGTCGACAACCACATATAATGAACGAAGGTATGTTTTTCTGTATATCACGTTTTTCATGCTTGACATTTGTATCGATAATCAATATATTATGTAAAAATATCACTACAAATCTGTTCCTATATCGTTCTGAAGAAGCATGAGTATGATAGTGTTGCGTTATCTCACTTCTCTTCATTGTTTTCTCAATGTCCTAAGAAAGGATTAAAACAAGATGAATTTTTCATTGATTTTAAAAGCTCAAAAGAACAGCTAGCAAATCTCATATTTCTCAATCTTTTCTTAAATGAGCTTTCTTAACTATAAAAATTAGAACTGCATTTCATCGCCATGTTGCTCCATTTTTGATAAATATTTGACAAATTTTAATCAGAAAATTACAGTTTAGGCCAACTTCAAGGGCATAGTTCACATCAGCGTAAAAAACTTACCTGGCTTTTGTGTTTTACAGTTTATGGATGAAATTGCTTTTTTCACAAAATTCAGCTGAGATCTCATTCAGCATATGGCTGTAAGACGAATCTAATTTGGAAATCATTATAAAATTAAGGAGGCAGGTCAAAGTGGTTACGAAAAATTCATTCTAGAACACTCGAAGATCTTTTGAAAATTTCAAACTGTTGTTTTTGAATATGCAGTAAGATTGTATTCTGGTATCGTACGTCGTGCTCTTTCATCTAGTCTATTGGAAAACTCTGTATTTTTTCTGAAACCACAACTTTTATAGAAAACTTTCGTGTCGGAAGTAGCAATAAAACATGAATTGGTAGTTTGTTGAAAATCTACTGCTTCGGAAGATTCTTCTAAATGTTTCATAAATTTCAACTAATATTTTAGGATGAAATCATACAGTGCTATTTCTCTCGCTAATGTAAGAGTAGTATGATCATCTCATCTTGATAGATTGTATATTGATTTTATAGCTGGGTAGTAATTATGTTCTATTATTACTTGTTGTTTTTCTGTGTAGAAGAACTGACTAGTAAATAGCCAGGAAAAGTGTGGTGGAGCATATACAGAAAATAGTTTCTTGCGCATTTTTATTTCCTTCATTGGTATAGTATGGAACAACTTTCTAAATCCATTAAAAAAATTTCTAATCTTTTTTAATCGGATATTGCTGAAACTTTTCCAGTCAAGCTTAGTACCAATTTCTACTGCTAAAGACTGAAAGATGTTTATATATTCTATTAGAGTTCTTTTATATTCTATTTTGGTTTAGAAATTACTACCGCTCTGTGGATAATCATATATTTTGTTTTGGCTGTATTCGTCAGCAAACTGTTCTAAGTTTTTTAAAACTGGTTGTGCTTGGCGTTCTAAAAATACTATGGTTCTGGATAACTTAAGTTTGAGAGATCTTTTAATGACTAATGTCAAATCATCAGCAAAAAGATGAGACTATTTGAGTAAAATAAGATGGCAAGAAATGGATATGTAAGTTTTTTCCATCTCTTACTGTTTTAAATTTCTATGATTAATGCTTATATCAGTTTGAAAAGTCTTCTTGGAAGATGGAACACCATTTTATTGTAAATATATTACCAATCTATAATATAGTTTGAGAGACAATTTAACTATCTTAGGTAATACTGATGCAATAAAAATTTATTGTTTTTGTCAAAGTATTGAGTTTCAATTTCTTTAACATTTTATATCAAAATGTCGTAATGAATCCTATTTAAGAATATTCTGTCAGTGATTTTGGGCTCTCTTAATCCAAGAATTATGCAGACGTTAAAAAGGACGATATCACTGAAATCTGAGTCACTCAAAGATTTTTTGAATTAACAATCGGTAGAATTAAATTCAACACGACACAAGAACAGTAAATTCTCTTCTTATTAATTTCAGGCATATTCTGATGTTTTCGAACAAGTTCTCATACAAATACTGCTACAAAATCTAGAGCACCCGTCTAAACAACAGGTTCAGTTCAATAGGCGGAAATTCATCGGTTCCTAAGATAACTATACGTATTCGAGGATGCCACGAAAATATTGAATAGTTTTTCAGCATTTTGCGAGCCTATTCAATGATTAGTTAAAGACGTAGCCGATATCGTCATTAAATAATACTATAAATTAAGAGAGTGAGACCAAGAGATGTAGAACAGCGTTGATAATAAGCAATTGAAGCACATGTATGTATAAGCGATGAGTACTATCGACACCCAGCTAATATATTTTCGGTAAACATAATGAAATAAAAAATGCGAATATTTGCATTGTTGAAATGCATTTCAACAAAAAATATGTTTCTAGGCACTCAAATATCTGAAATTAATTATGTTTTACTTATTAATGTAACACTGCTTCAATTACTGTAAATAAGTGAAAAAATTCTTTCTCTCATATCCTTCATATAGTTTTCTTTTAAATCTATCGACTATACTGGTACTTTCCCACTTTTTTGTTTGAAAATATTACGATATACCTTATTCATTTTGAATAGTTAAAATGAAGCATGAGCTCACATCTATTTCTTATTTGCATACTCTAAGTCTCTTTCTTTCAAAATTCATTTTTACAGCGCATGTCCCTAATAAGAACAGGTGTTTCAACATCCTTGATT